TTGGGCACAACTCTGCGCTGCCACTGCCGCCCTGGCTGCTGCTGGGCACTGGCTCTGGCTAGGCTGCAGCTCCATGCTCTGCTGTCAGCACAGAAATCATGCCACCCCTGCTGCTGCCAGGCCCTGGCTCCAGCCTTGCTACAGCCCCACACCCCACACCCTGCCATCAGCACAGAAATCTGGGGGACACAAGCCCCCTGTGCTTCTCCCTTATGTGTCACCTATGTCTTACATCCAATGTTCCTTTTAATACAACTGTCATAGGGCGGGGACCCAGGAGCGGCCGTGATCTCTCCTGGCGCCCCCTACTGTGCCAAGCTGGCGATTAAGCACCCTCATTCTCACCCGCCATGTCTTTGATGGTTCAAGTATTCTAAAGGAGGCTGCCTTTGTCTGTCCCCTTGGACACAGTGCTCTTACTTTTCCTGGCCCCTGTTCTATGTGGATAGATTTTGGTGCACCCCATCTTATGGGCTATGCATGGCTCCTACCTCCCCTTATACCACGCCCCAAGCCTCTCAGATGTACCAGACGTTGTTGAGTCAGTTCTTAATGCCCGCGCCTTCACGGACGCTCTCCGGGGCCCTTCTCTCAGTTGCTCAACCTCTCCGGGGCCCTTCTCTCAGTTGCTTGACCTCTCCGGGGCCTGGCTTGCGCTCATGCTCATGCCCTCACTGGGGCCTGGCTCTGAGATCACGACGCCCGCACTGGGGCCTTGTCTCATGACTCCTGCAATCAGGGCTCAGGTGGCTGTCGCCGTGCCTGGCCCCCAGACCCCCGTCTCGGGTCTCGCGCCCCACTGGGGCTTCTTGCCTGCGCCCACACTGGGCTCCTCCCACTACTGCCCACACTGGGGCAAGGGTCAGGACACCCCAAAATGCAGCGCCCTCTCCAGCGCCAGGACCCCCCCCACTACTGGGGACCTCCCATGAGGCCTCCTCCAACCCCTACAGCCTCACCCGGTCCTCTGGTCTTACAACAAATGAACAAAATGACATGAGCCAACTGGCTATAACTCAAGAACTAAGCCACCTGGCTAAACATACCTGGCTAAACATAAACTCTAAACCATCAGGTAGTTTCTCCTCCCAAAATCCCTACCAGGGCTTCCTCCACCCAGTCTCCTCCCAACAGAAGCTGCTCAGGCCATCGGGCTTCTTTCCTCTGCCCACTTCCACAGAGTTCCTACTTCCTCAGCAGCCAGAGAGGAACTGACCTTACAGCCTCAGTTTGGCTGTTTATAAAAGCCAGGCCCTGCCCCCTTCTGCTCAGCTGAGCAGACTGGTTGCCCCAGCAACACACACCTGTGCTGCCCTAGTGATTGGCAGCTGAACCCATATTACTGTTATCAGTAGCAGGCACCTTAGTGCCCTGCTACAACAACCCAGAATAACATTTACCGTTTTTGCAAGGGCAACACATTTTTGACTCATACTTAATGTAACCCACCAGAATTCCCACATCCTTTTTGATGAACTACTGTTTAGCTAGACATTCGCCTGTAAATAGGTCCTTTATCCTGCTCTCTTTTGCAGTCCTGTTAGTTCTCCTCTTAGCCCCTCAGACAGTTCATATTCTATCAAACAAACACCAGCCACTAAGAAAACAATTAAATAAACCAAAATCCATTGTCAACTCCACCTTCTATTCATATTACCCAGCATGACAGCCTGCCCTATCCTGGCAAATAAAATCATTCTCTCACAGCTTGTTTCCTTTTCCTACTTAGGGGACAGGCCACTCTGTTACAACCTCATTTTGGATGTATGCACTTGATTCGCCCTTCATAACAACAGCAATTTTCCAATTGTCTTAATTAAAGCTCATCTTATTGATTTTGGACCATTTTTCCAGTTTATCAAGATCGTTTTGAATTGTAATTCTATCCTCCATAGCATTTCCAACACCTTCCAGTTTCTTATCTTCTGCAAATGTTATAAATGCACTTTCTATTCCATCACTCAGGTCAGCATTGAAAATAACAAACAGAAATAGACCCACGCTATATCCCCTCATAAAACAATGATGATTTTTCAACCAGCTGTGTACCATCTTATGATGATTTGGTTGAGACCTTATTTCTCTAGTTTGCATATAGACTATAATGTAGAACCAGTACCAAAATGCATCATATCTACTGATTCAGCCATATTCACTAGGCCAGCTATTCTTTCACAGCAGGAATTCAAACTGGTTTAGCATAATTTATTCTTGAAAAATCAACTTTGGTTGTTATCTGTCTCTATCATCATTGTTGGTTATGTGCTTTTAAACTAATTGTTTAATTATTTGTTCCAGAACCTTTCCAAGGATGAATGTTAGGCTAACTGGTCTGCAGCTCCCCAGGTCCACATTTCCCACCTCTAAGTGAAACTTTAATAGACCTTTACAGGAAAATAAAAACATGTTCCAATGATACTGCCAGGAGAGACCCTGAGCAGATCAAAAGTGACTACAAGGCTCTGAGTAAAAAGGTGAGGGGTCAGGGGCTCAGGTTGTGCTCTCATGGATCCTTCCAGTCAAAGGGGCCCAAGCAGGAGTAGGTGCATCCTGCAGATCAACACCTGGATGTGCAGGTGATGTCACCAACAGGGCTTTGGCTTCTTTGACCATGGGATGTTCTTCCAAGAAAAAGGGTTGCTGGAAAGAGATGGGATCCACCTCATGAAGAGTAGGAAGAACTTTTTCACAGACAGGCTCACTAACCTACTGAGGAGGGCTTTACACTAGGTTTGCCAGGGGTTGGACACCAAAGCCCTGAGGTAAGTGAGGAAGTGGAAGACCTTGAGGAATAGCAAGCAAGAGGGGGCAATGGGGGAGGTGCTCTCATACTTCCTGAGAAATCAGGGCAATCAACTAGTCACCTTAGGTGCCTGTACATGAATGCACAGAGACTGGGAAACAAGAAGGAAGAATTGTAAGTCTTCGCACAGTCACAGAACCTTGACATAGTCCCACTAGGGGAAATGCCTTGCTGGACTTGGTCCTTGCCACAGGCAATGACCTGGTGAGAGGTCTGTGGGTACTCGACCACCTGGGCGACAGTGATCATCACCTGCTGGAATTTACTATCCAGCACAAAGCAAAGCAAGCATCAAGGCAGAGGTCCTCAACTTCAGGAGGGCCAACTTCTGTAAGCTAAGAAGGTTAGTAGGAGAGGCATTGGGGTCTCAGAGCCTCAATGAGATGGGGGTCCAAGACAGGTGGCTGTTCCTCAAGGAGACAATCCTCTGAGCTAAAAGAAAGTCAGTCCCAATTCACACCAAGTTGGACAGGAGTGCTAAGAAGCCCCCATGGCTCAGCAAAGGCATCTAGGGATGCCTGTGGGCAAAAAAAGGAGGTGTACAAACAGTGGAAGCAAGGGGCTATCACCAAGGAGGATTACACTTCTGTTGCTTGGGACTGCAGGGAGGCAGTTAGGAAGCCCAAGGCAGAGATGGAGCTAGGGCTAGCAACCAGAATTAAGGATAACAAAAAGTCCCTTTTCAAATATATAGGGAGTAAGAAGAAGGCACCAGGTAACATGGGGCCCCTACAGGATAGGCTTGGCAATCTGATGACTGTGGCAAATGAAAAAGCTGACCTCTTTAATGAATTCTTTTCCTCCATATTCCTGAACAGAGACTGAAACATTTCCCCCACTAGAATTGTGGACAGACCCAGGGGTGCCACCGCCATGCCTAGGGTCAGGGACGAC